GAGCCTGGTTCTGCTGGAGGTTGCTTCCTGATCAAAGGGAGTTTTTCCACTCCACTGTCGCTACAAGCATGCTTAGTGTTAGGGCAGGCTCAGACTGGGAAGGATTTCACAGTTTAAAGAAATGGAAAATGACACCATATGCCAACCATCACAAGTATGTGCATGACAAGGAAGGACTGCATGCATCATTTAGGTAGTTTACTTTTTTGTCATATTTTTTGCAGATGACTAGGCTAGTAAACTAGCCCCACCCGCCAGTTGCGGGTGGGGCTAGCTTAGTCTGGTTAATCAGGCTAGCAGGCGACATTGTCTAATTCTCCAGAGACCCAATGGAAACAATCAACTAATCTAAAAAAAAAAACATGAAAACCACAGAGAACATAAAAAAATATGCTTCTTCTTAATCCATCAGCTTTACTTTCAGTTTAACTAATACCTGTCAGGATTAGGTTGAGGTTTGAGGACCCAAATGCAGAGGCTGGGAGGCAGAGGTGAGTTTGATGATTTAATGAACTGTTTACAGACAGCTGAGGCAGGAACCCAAAAAGTCCAAATATCAAACGTGAAAATAGTCAAACAAACCAGAAACCATGGAGACATCAGGGGAAAAACAATCACGACGAGGAAAGGCTCAGAGAGACGGAGTTGGAGGAAGTTAGACGGGGAACCAGCACTGAGGAACTGCATAATGAGTGTATTTATGGGCGACTGAGAAAAAAGAGGACTAACAAGCAGATTGGGAGCAGGTGTGAACAGAGCAGACAGGAAAGGAGAACACAAGAGGGCAGCAGAGGGCAACAGATAAAAACCTAAAAAATAACCAGAAAATACAACAAAATAAGAATTAAACCACTAAAACTAGTAAACATGGAGCAAAGTAAAACAGAATACTAAAAAGAAAACATAACAGAACCAAGACTGTGACAATACCGAGGAAATCTGAACTGATGTTTTCATAAAGGAGCAGCTTTTAAATACATCAGCTGCTATGGCTTCAACATTCTGTTACCATGTGTGTCTGCAGGCCAGCTTGTCTCATGTGGGGACTATCAGGTTTCCTGGTCCAAGTTCGCTAAGGTAAGTGACCTGATGGAGCGCCGCATTGACCTCAGCGCTGCTAAGCCAAACGGTTTTCAGGGGAAATGCAAAAGTTGTGGCTTTCATGTTGTCGGGCATCATGGCTACAATGATCCCTGTTTAAATATAAATCTATATAAATACACATTTAAACATCCTGTGCAATAACCCTGTATAATAATCCTGCTATTAAAAAAAACTTGTCCTATGTGGATGCACCGTTTATAATGTATGTATCCCATCATGCACCTCTTCTTCCTTTGGCTCCTTCTTCTTCTGCTTTGACTACTTGAGCTGATGTAACGAGTAAATTTCTCCACTGTGAGATCAATCAATCAATCAATCAATCAATCAATCAATCAATCAATCAATCAATCCATCAATCAATCAATCAATCAATCAATCAATCAATCAATCAATCAATCAATCAATTCCATGTCTGCTTCCCTCATAAAGGAGAATATTCCCGGGAAACCCTTCAGCTTCTGGATGTGGCTGGACTCCATCCTGGAACTCATCAAGAAGCACCTGCTGCCAGTTTGGAATGAGAAGTAAGCTAGAACATCTCTAGGTTTCTATTTCTATTACCCATCAGTCTTTGAACTGCTTAAAAAAAGAGCAAATAAAAATCCAGATTTAGGCTGATGAGTGTGTAACCGGGTCAGTCCTCAGGCTTTGGAGATAATCAGACTTTACTGACCGCTGAGGTATAAAACAGGTTGAATCCAGATTGTCTCCTAAACTTAAACTGGACCAATGAGCAGTTTAACATGAGCTTGTTTCCTATCTTTGCCTTAAAAAGGTCAAACAGGGGCCATAGCGGTTGAATCTTCAGACCGTCATCATCATGACTGCAGCCATCTGTTGCCATGAAACGTCTCAGTCAGACACACGTCTCCGTGGCGACTTCCTGTTCTCCAGCCTCTGGCATCACTGCGCTAGCTCTGGGAAAATAGATGCTCAGACAGATAAGGCTCCTACCCCAGGAGCTTTTTGGCCCCGGGGGGCCTCAATAGATCTGTGGTTTAATTACCAATGTCGCTTTATAAACCGTTTTGTAAACAGGAACTGTATATTTTCGCTGATGAACTTTCTGTCCAAACTAGTTTTTCCAACTCATCATGAAGCCAATAATTTCCGCCGACAGATCAGAGCAGCTCATCTTGACCGCCGTTTGACCCAGAGTCCAGGTTCTGGTGTTTAACACAGAAAACGCATCATAACCACACCCAGCTGACCCCACCACCCCCCTCCCCATGCTCTATTCGCACCACCCACTTTGGTAGCGTTGTTCAGAATGGCCCCGTTTTTAGGGAGAGTTACATTTTCAGGTCATCAACGCTCCCTGAATTGTTGTCTTTTTACTTTAAATACTTTTACATTTGGACTCAATATGTTCATATGAAATATACTTTTTGTTCTTTTGTTGAAGTAGTCATCAACATTTAGTCGCCTTACAACCAAGAACTTCAGTAGTTTGTGCTGAGATTCAATGTGAGGAACAAGGTGCTGCTTCTGTTACTGTAGATCTATGTTTTTAGTCAGGCTAGATGGAGGACATCTGTGATCATCAGTCTTTAACTCCTAATGCAGACCTTAGATGGATTCAAGTCTTGACTTTGACTAGGCCCTTTTTTTATCTAAACCATCCATCGTATCTCTGACTAGATTTTCAGGGAGGCTCTGCATCTGCATGCTGAACATCTGCCACAGTCTCTGGTCTTTAGGTAGTTCTCCAGGACTATCTGGATTTAACTCCATCCATTCCATAGCAAGTGGGACCAGCTTCCCACAGCATGATGCAGCCATTAGAAAGGACCCCAGGCACCGGTTATTGGTGTTTAATCATTCTTAGGATTTATACCAAAACATCTTTCCTGATCTTCTCAGATCAGACCAGCTTCCCTTCTTCACGGTTAACTGCTTCACATCAGCTCTGACGTTCTTCACTTTTATCTCTTTATATCTATAATATATCTACATTGCTTCACAATAACCTCTAGTTTATCTTGGTTAGAGTTTGTTGTTGTAATGTGATAAAATGAGAATAACTTTCAGAGGAGTGAATACTTGTTATGGCTGAACTGGTGATCTCTGCCTCAAACATCCTGACCAGTATCCAGGATCTTAAGATGTTGGTCCGCCTTTCTGCAGCACTGATACCGACTCTAATGCCGGAATATTCAGCTGTACTGGGCTTTACCCCGACCCCACCTTCCATCACTTCCTCGGACTCTTTTATCTTCTGTTCAGAGGAAGTTGAGCTTCTTTTAATCTGTTGCAGGTTATTTCTGCTTGTTTTATTGTTCAGGTCTGAACAGAGAAATGACCCAAAACAAAGCAGCTAACAGTTTTTTCAGGTATCTTGAAGGGCAGAAGGAGAAGCTGATTTTCTTCTGTGTGACTGCAGTTACATCATGGGCTTCGTGAGTAAAGAGATGGAGCGTGCTCTGCTGAAGGACCGGGAGCCGGGGACCTTCCTGTTACGCTTCAGCGAGAGCCACCTGGGAGGAATCACCTTCACCTGGGTGGAGCACAGTGACAGCGGTGAGTTCTTCCATCAGGACTATAGGAAGCTCACAGACCGTCCATTGATTTCCTGATGGCCTTTTATCGGCCTTTGCCACGGTCCTCTCTGAAGCACTTTTTTCTGGACTTGGTTCCTTTTCAGTCCAGTCAGTGTAAATTTGTTTAATAAATATAAATATCAAATTTGGTTAAATATCAGGACCGGCTTTCAATAGTTTCCAAAGGATAGCCTGATGCACAGCTGCATCAGGTAGCAAAGTTTGGTCTGAGGAGTCTAGTTTGATTTCAGCGTTAGCCTCTGACCTGTTCCAGCAGCCCGTTCCTTCATCGCGTTAACGGGTATCTTCTACAACAGGGGATGTAAAGTTCAACTCCGTGGAGCCATACACTAAAAACCGACTGAGCGCTCTGCCTTTTGCTGACATAATCCGTGACTACAAGGTCATTTCAAATGGAGGTGTTCCCGAGAACCCGCTCAAGTTCCTGTACCCAGACATCCCCAAAGACGAGGCCTTTGGACGGCTCTACAACAGTCAGCCTAGCAAAGGTAAGATGCTAACATCTGAGCAAAGAAAAAGGACTAAACACTGAAAAACGAGCCCCACTCTATCATGTAGAACCTTGGCAGTGGTTATCCACCCTGTCCTGCATGTTTTAGGTGCCCCCCCCCCCATCCTTGGCACTAACCTCCCTCCTCTCTGCTCAATTCTCAGTCCATCCATACATCCCATCGACCCTGATCCCCATCTCAGAGCTGCGGTGAGTCCTCCGCAACAACACCTTGACTTTCCTTTCTGCTGCGGTGAAGTGACTGGATGAATGACCTGAATCCATCCTTAAGGCAAAAATGTTTGTTGCTGTAAAAAAACAAATCAAACACTTGAGCTCAGATTAGCTGCACTTTAGCAGGGAAGCTAATTGTAGGTCTTACAGACTGGCATTACCTTGATAAACTTTTCCTATTTTATTTCAATAAATGAACTGATCTTGGTGATGGACTTCTGGGAAACCTTGTTATTTATCCAGTCTGCTCTAGTCCCATCGCTCTTTCTTTATCTGATTCTTCTAGGTCTGAAGCCAGCACCACCCCCCGCTCCTGTCCGTCTCCCGAACCCCCGATGACCCCCGGGGAGTTTGACATGCTCAGTGAACACCTGTGCTTTGACATCGACACCGTGAGTTTCCTGTTCTGAGTCCTTGGAGAACCTATCAGGGGATCCAGGGGACGCCCAGTAACCCTAACCCT